CAACATATGGTACAGTCTTCCAAAGTACTCTAACGGAAACACACAACTCAGTGTAACACAATGAAATGTGACCCTTTCAATTCTGTGATGTACTTGGAGTTTATTTATTTTAAACTGCCCCTTTATTTTCCTATACTAACCTACTCAGTTAATATTCAAATGCTAACATTTATGTTTTACTATCATAAGGTTTGTGATAATGGTGTGTATTATGTGCCAGATACAGCTATCAGGAAAAAGAAATCATCTGTCAATAATATATTAGTTGTGTTTCATATCCCAAGACTTTTTTCCCAGTCTGACTGTCCCTGACAGTCTGTGTTTTTCGTAAGATGTCATGTTTTTACAAAACTAATATAAAGTTTTGTTGCCATAGCATCCATTTTTATACCTAAATGTTCTAAGTGAGAGTCATAAAGCTGTGACTGAGCAACGCTTGCATCGAACAGTGGCCTTTTTTGGTCACAGTACTCTCAAGAATTGTTACATATTTAGTGAGTCGCAGCACGACATTCATTTTCTCAATTATGCTTGACTTTAATGGCCTGGATTTTGCCACAACCAACTGAAACTCAAACTGAAACTGTGGCTATTTCTATCTATGGGTACTATCGAAATCTTAATCTTGTGATAGGGTAATTTTGGTCACACAGAGCAGTGGAAGCAATAACGGCAGATTTGTAGCATGTACTTTGAGTCATTTTAATGATCTAGTTCTTGAAAATGTTTGAGTTGACACCTCTGATGTCATACCTTCTTTGTGGTTTTTATGCTTTTAATAAACAATCTAACAATGATATGGATGGTTTTGTAGTCATACCTTTTGATGCTTTGGTCACGTGCAAATTTCAGGCCTAATGCAGTGGATTGACAGAAAAGGAATAAGCCTGTGACTTCTCTTTTTTGTTCTGCTTCACAGAAACGTCCTGCCATTTGAAAACAGGAGCTCCCTGCAATCTGTACATGACAGACGCTGACCCCCAGTGACCTTAATTTCCGAGCCGAAACCAGCCTGGTTCCATATCTCGGGAAGGTCAAACTTTATCACTCCAAACTCCAAACAAATTATTATTCTGGAGATCTTATTTTCCCCTTATCTCAGGGGAAACGACTGAGTCAATGGCGTTGTGTCTTGGACAAGTGTTCAGCAAAGACAAAACATTCAGGCCTAGGAAGCGGTTTGAGCCAGGCACTCAGCGCTTTGAACTCTACAAGAAGGCCCAGGCCTCGCTCAAGTCTGGCTTGGACCTGAGGAAAGTGGTCCAGCTGCCGGAGGGAGAGAACATCAACGACTGGATTGCCGTTCATGTGGTGGATTTCTTTAACAGGATCAACTTGATCTATGGCACGATGAGCGAGTTCTGCACCGAGCGCACGTGTCCCATCATGTCTGGGGGGTTGAGGTACGAGTACAGATGGCAGGACGGTGACGACTACAAGAAACCCACCAAGCTGCCCGCTCTCAAGTACATGAACCTGCTGATGGACTGGATAGAGTCACTCATCAATAATGAGTATATCTTCCCCACCAGAGTAGGTGTGTGAGGAGTCTACAAATGAAGGCGTCAGACTATTATTAGTGTATAACCTCATACTTGATTGATTAGGGCCTGCACTGATGTTGTGCTTCATCAGTGCTGAAGTGTCCGCCTGGAGTGCAGTGCTGTTCCCCTTCATTAACATCTCAAATGGGATGATAAAGTTCAAGTGGAGGTTAATTAAACAATAAGGTTGACATTTAGAGGAGCTTGAAGGGGTGACTGTGGTGTTATTTTATCTCAGCACTAGGTATGAGAATCAACACTTATTAGAGGTTAGAATTTCATGCATAATGGAGGAGTGAGCTCAGGCTCAGCGGTAAGCACTGAAACCAAAATGGCAAAGTGCTTCAACCAATCAGGAGATTCTCTGCATGAATTCTGCATGGTTTTCTTCGGATAGCTTCGGTTTCCTCCTACAGTCCATAGAAATGCAGGTCAAGTGATATGAAAACTAAATTTCCCATAGGCATGAATAAGTTTTGTCTATTTGTTAGCCTGTGATAGATTGGCAATTTGTCCAGGGTAATGTCCCACATTACAGCCACTGTAGTTCAGGGCTACCTTTTGTCCAATGTGTGCACAACCCCCACAGCCCTGAGCAGGAATAAATAGGGACAGAAAATGTATGGATAGAGTAATCATAAGATGTGGAACAATGTGTCCAGCATACAAGTAGGCTACCCCTTATGTGCCACTTGGATGGGACAGCTTCAGACAAATGTTTGATCATTTTTCACTTGGTGGCTTCATAGAGATCCTGCAATTGCTGATGTTTAAGCCTTGTTTCTGTCTTCTTCTTTTTTTGGTAAAGTTTAACAATTTAACGTGTGTATTACTACCATTTGAGGTGAATTTTCTGATAGCTTTCGCACAAATTTATATGATATTGCTATTGTGGCAGAAAATATCAGGCTAATTTTTTTACCAAATCAATAATTTCTGTTTTGTCAAATAGGCTGAGCTTCTCCACAGTAACTCCAGATGTAACCCCAGGGGTACATGTACCTCTGGCTCAAAGCTCCACTGTACCTATGCTTAAAAAATTGAGTAATTCAGCTACAAAAGCCTTTTGTCGGATCGCACAAAGCATAGAGACAGTTTTTGGACTGACTAAAGCCTCATGCAACAGAAAATTGTATTTTTATACATTTTGAATAAAGGTGCAGTGGAGTATTAAGAAACAGGTCCTACCTTTCCTCTTTCATGCACACATTTATCAACCCAGTACTTGAAAAAAGGTTGCGTTTGGAATTGCTTTTTGTCAGTGAAATATATTGTCCATGCAAATCATATTTCATTAAGACACTGACTTGTACTCAAAGATTGATGCTGTTGAGGAGAAATACTATTAGCCTACATTACATCTGCTAAATGATGGTTCCAGTTATAGAAAGTGATTATATTTTTTGTCTTAGAGCTATTCAAATCACTTCTCAGGTGGAACTCTATTAAATTCTGTAACACTTTTCTCCTTTCTTCACTCTAGGCGTACCTTTCCCCAAGAACTTCCAGCAGGTGTGCAAGAAGATCCTGAGCCGTCTCTTCAGGGTCTTTGTGCATGTTTACATCCATCACTTTGACAGCATCTGCAGCATGGGCGCAGAGGCCCACATCAATACCTGCTACAAGCACTACTACTACTTCATCTCAGAGTTCAACCTTATTGATCACTCTGAGCTGGAGCCCCTGGTGAGACAGTAGTGTGACCTCAGATATGTGAGGACAGGAAGCAGCAGAAAGCGGGTCAGATGGATGTTTTGCATTGGGAGGATTGTCAGTCTCACTCTCATGTCTAGTCTAGTCTAGCAGCCATCCTGCCATCTATAACCATGTTTGTCTTTATGCCGGTGTGTTTTCCAAGCTAGTGCCCATGCAGCGCAAAGAAAAACAGCCCATCTTAAAATCTACTAAAGCCACACAGACTACATGATCACTCAGCTTTACCATGGGCATACAACGCATGAACTGTGTCCTCCCTAAGATAATGACAATATTCCATTTGACAAACCCCTTCCCCAATTTTCTATCATGAAAGAAACTCGTTAACTGCTTTATAGAAAATGGTTTGGTTTGAAGCAGCAACCCTCGTAAGAGAAGTTGCTGACTTTGTACAGTCATGTAATGAGGCAGAGTTTGTATAGTTGTTGCTTTTTCCCAACAAAGGGACCTCCATCACATATGAGCAGATGGACAATGGTGCTCCGAGCGTCAATAAAAGGCTTCAGTTATCATCATTATGAAGCCCAGGCTGTGTAATTCCTCTCCCAGAGTGAAACAGGCATTAGACATTTATGTCATCACACCGCAGAAAAGATACATCTTGTAAACAGACCCTGTTTTATTGTCCCACCTTTAGTACCCAAGGCAATTTTGTTTTGTTGTTGGAACAGCAGCTTTTCTTTCTCACGATAAGAAACAATGCTCCTCATATTGAAACAAGCATTCATCTTCTCATACAATATGAATTTGATGTGTTAAAAATGTCCTTTGCTTTTTTTTCCTACAGAAAGAGATGACAGAGAAGATATGCAATTAAACAAAACCACATGGACAAAGGAGTTTACATTTTGGCAGTATCTGAGCCCCGCGAGAAATCATCGGCTTCAAAACACTCAAAACAAAGAACAATTTTTCAAGACAAGTTGTACGAGTGGTTTTGTTGACATAACTGGGAAGGTCCACTGACTTACCAGACTTCTTCAGATGGTGGCATTGTGCCCTCCCAGAGGATTTATTTTACAGTAATTACAATAGTTGATGCCATCATTATACAAGTTTGCGTTGGTTTATAATACTACATCTCGTGTACTCGTGCTTTTTCTTTCCTCCTGTGCATGTATGTTTGTATTTGACCTTTTTATATACAGTGTTGACTCTTATTTTGTTGAATGAAAGTTTGTTTTTTATTTGATGTCAGTGCTTTTACAGTTTGAACATAAAAATGCAGCCTTAAAATGATCAGTGTTTTTGCAAATATTTTTTTTTATGTATTGCAGGTCACCTCAAAAATATGTACAAAAACATTGGGTCATGATTTTGTTTTCATTATCGAAGTCAACTCTGTATCACAGAAGTGAAAAGACACAGCTTAACAAAATGAATACTTATATATTTCTTCAAATAATATTAAATTTCTTTAAATAATAGGCTATATTTGCTTTTAAGAGCTGCCACACAGGGCAAATTTAAAACCAACACAGACAAAGACAGATGTCACCGGTGGAATGTGTAAAGGAAAAAAACATGAACTTCAAAGTAATAATGATAAAATATTGTAGTTATGTGTTGTGAGCCAAACCAAACGCCTGTGTAAATAAGGTCATCGTCATGCACAAAAAATCCCCACTACGTGGATTGGGGTGTGGCGGGGAATCAAGTAGGGTGACGTGTTAGTGGGAGCCGTGTTCTCGACCAATGGGAGAAAGAGGCATGCAATAAGGGGCGGAGCAATTCTATGTTTCCGTGATTTCCCGCCCTTACGTCACTGGCTCTCGGACTGATGGATCTCAGCTAGCAATGGATGTTTACATCAGCGGCCAGACGCTTTGACGGAGGGGATTTGGCTGGTTTGGACGCAGAGTCCAGGTTTGAAAGGGTTTTTTGCATTTATATTTCCGTTTTACCGAGACTTGACCGGTGTCTAAACACAAACTAGCGATTACACGTTAAGCGGTAGGAGAAGCTAGCTAACGTTACTGGGTTTTTACTAGCTAGCTAAGGCTAACGACAATAACATAACGGCGGATTGTACGGTCAGCAGTTAAACTCTAGCCTTTCTTATGCTCTGGTTATTTTTTTAATACATTGTTCTTGGTAAGGGCGTCTAGATTGGTGTAGCAGTAACTTAGTGCTAATGTTCAGTAACGACGTGGTTATTGTTAGCTGCAGTAACGTTAACGTTATCGTTAACGTCAGCAGTGCGTTAAGTCAAACTAAATATCTGACTAACTTCCATAACGCTAACTTAGATGATATAACGTTAGCTATACGTTAACGTCTTTAACAGCAGTTAAATACATGCACTTACCGTAGCATAACGTTATAATATACTTGACAGAAGGCTTTAAAGACTGGACTTAATCTTAACCGTGTACTGGTTTTCTGTCACTCAATAAACGCTCCAAATACTAGAGCGTGAAAGGAGGAGGTAAACGCGCTGTGTGTAATTTACACTTCACATGAGTAATGGACTGCTGTTTTTTTCCCTTTGACTTGCTTTGACTTATTATCCTGACGTCTATATTTATCTCTCTGCTGATGCAGTTTGTTACACACGGACTCAGTATTTCTGATGTACTCTCTCAGTTAGCAGATATGGTGAGGCACAGCATGGTGACGGAGCTGCAAGCCATCCAGCACTCTCTCCTGGTGAGATATGAACTGTTAATACTGGTGATTTCAAAACATTTAACTTCCTGAAACACTTTGTGTTAGATAAGACCAGGCTGCCAGGAAGTAGTCCGCAGACTGTCAAGGTTATCTACACTTCTACAAATGTAGAGGTTTCATCAGTCATTTCATGCACTATGATTGGTTGTGTAAATGCTTCTGGTAATATCCAGGGTGAGGTAAGGCCTGTCAGTGTGCTTCCTGCGTTCTCATCAGGCCACTGTTTTGGCAGGACGCCATGCCAAAGTGGATGTTTATCAGCTAGGTTGTAGTAGTAGTTATAGAACCATATAACTACAGTTATACAAATTTTATTGCTAAAGTCAGTTTTATCAACTATATGCTTAAATGTAAGCCTGCTGGGTACTGAATCTTTCGCTATTTAACACTTAGCACAAAGTGTGAGAATGATGTATTCCTTCTTGCGATTTCTCTACTATACCACCCCCTGATCCCTTTGGCTACTCTCGTACATTCCCCCATCTCTCCCGCTCCCATGTGGCCTCCTTCTCTCTGTTACAGGATAAGTCCCTGGCTGTGGGCCAAGTGGGGCAGAGCTGTGGGGGAATTCAGGAGAACGGGGTCGCTTCAGCGGACAGACAACACCTTTCCCAAGGTCCAGCAGGTACAGCAGCTCTGTTATCCGGAACAACTCTGGAGCTTCTGAAATGTACGGTGCATACAGTAACACACTGGCAAAGTCTGTGCTGTTTTAACAAATTTGCTTGTATGTGGGTTCTTCTGTGTTGCTTCAGAAATTGAAAAAAGCCAGCCAGTGAACATCCCAGATGCAGCAAAAAGAAAGAAGAAGAAAAGAACTAGAGCAACAGACAGCTCCACAGGCACTTTTGATGGTAATGATGCTGATATTATTGTGACATACTGTCATATAATAAATGTTATATTTTATTAAAATATAACACAAATGCATACTGCAGTCTCATAAGTCACATTTTCTTCAGATCTCTACAAACTGACAGAGGAGGTGCTTGGTCAGGGGGCTTATGCTAAAGTTCAAGGATGCATAAGTCTGCAGAATGGACAGGAGTTTGCTGTGAAGGTGAGTAAGAACATTTTGCAGACAACACATCACAAAAGTTAACAAAGAAATAATTTGAAGTTTAGTTTTAGGTTTAGTTAAACGAAAGATAAAACAAATTCTACATGAACTGACAGAATCATAAACTGAATAGAATAATACACAGTTCAAAGCCAGTGTGTATGTTTAATACTGTAAAATTGAAAAGTTTACATTTTCATTCAGACAATTAATAGTGTTCTGTTTTGTTTTACAAAGATCATAGAAAAGAGCGCAGGGCACAGCCGCAGCAGAGTCTTTCGAGAAGTGGAGACTCTCTACCAGTGTCAAGGCAACAGGTGAGTGCGTGTGAGAATTCTTTTTTAAAACTAACATAATACTATCACTGAAGGAAACAGATTCTAAACATTGACAAACTATCTTGATCCAGGAACATTTTGGAATTGATCCAGTTCTTTGAAGACAGCTCCTGCTTTTATTTGGTATTTGAAAAGCTGCGTGGAGGTAAACATAAATGCATAACTCAACAATCACACCATGTGCATACACTGAGCTATTTTCTACAAGAGATTGTATCTTTCTTCAGGCTCCATTCTCACACACGTGCAAAACCGAAAGCACTTTGATGAGCTGGAGGCCAGTAAGGTGGTCAGGGACATTGCCCAAGCTCTTGACTTCCTACACACTAAAGGTAAGTCAACATCCAGACAACTAGCAAAGTCTAAACAGAATATATTTTTTCTTTTCCAACATGGTGACAAACGTGCTTTTCTGCAGGCATTGCTCATAGAGACCTTAAGTTGGAGAACATCCTTTGTGAATACACCGATCGAGTAAGTGGCTTTCAAAGGACACAAAGCTTTCTTTTTACAGGTATAACACTATAAATATACCTATATATCTATACTTTTCACTCAGGTGTCCCCAGTAAAGATCTGTGATTTTGACTTGGGAAGTGGAGTGAAGCTCAGCAGTGCCTGTACGCCCATAACGACTCCAGAGCTCACCACACCGGTAGCAGTCTACTTTGAATTCATATCACAGACACACAAACAGAATCAAGCTAATGGATAACAGTTTATTGACCCTTCCTGTGTGTTTTTTTTGAAATATTGGCCCTCTCTTAGTGTGGCTCAGCAGAGTACATGGCTCCAGAAGTGGTGGAGGTGTTCACTGATGAGGCGTCCTTCTACGACAAGCGCTGTGACCTTTGGAGCCTCGGGGTCATCCTCTACATCCTGCTGAGCGGCAGCCCCCCCTTCACAGGCCACTGTGGCACAGACTGTGGCTGGGACCGAGGAGAAACCTGCAGAACCTGCCAGGTATGCTCGCCCGCTCAGCCTCTGTGCTCGCTCAGTGTCCCTCACACCTGACACTCCTGTAAGTGTTCACTTCCAAAAGTGTTTACAGCACAAAGGTGCAGTAGGCTTCCCCTGTCACCATCCACCAACAGTGTTATTTCACAATGTCACAGTCATGGTATTACTGCTTTTGCTAGCTGCAACATGTCTTGTAAAAACATACTCTTATTTCTTTCTTCCATCATTACTCTGGCTGCCTTTTTGTGCTGGGATTACTACTAGTATCACTTTGGTATCTAAGATGTAGCTAATTGACACTTGTGTCTGCAGCAGATGGTTCATATTGTTGCTGGAAAAATGGGGGAAGTAGACATGCAAGGTTAAAGAGACACAGACTGTTAAGGTGTGTTTACACTGAAGGCGAATTTAATATTCGCCTCGCTTTACTTGTGCGAGTTTGACTGCTGGACATTTTGAGAGTTCACACACACGCGATTTAAGCGAATAAACACAGCCCGTGGATACTACAGCTAAATGAGCCCAAAGTAAACCCTTTGCTGTGATTTAATTGGAATAAACTGATCAAACTGATGCCAAAATAACTACAATATGATGCTGTTTTGTTAGACATATGACTTCATGCTTTGTCAGGTCTGTCAGCAGGACGACAACTTTTAAAACGTTTGTTTTCTGAATGGAGTTCGGATCAATCAGGGCTATGCTATGCTAACCTGTTCACAGTAAAGTACAACGATAGCTAAAGTTAAAGACCCACATTTTCTGAACTCACCAGGTAGTTAAACTTACTCGCTTTCTTTTCTCCAAGGAATGTCTAGCTTTGTCCAGTTTTTTTATAAATATTAAGTAGTAGTCCAGCAGAACTCTGGTGCCATCTGACGCTAACAACAACAGTGGAACCAGATATGCACGGAAGCTAGCTGCCGAGAAGCGCAAGTGAAGATAAATCAAGTTGTAATTCCAAAAACTGAAGTAAAAAGCTAATTTAATAAAAGCAGTTAACTCTGAGCTCCTCCCGCGGGTAAACGGCGTAGTTGTCAGAGCATGATCCAGACCGTAATAAAAGTTGATGCTCTTGCCTTACCTATAAACCTATAAACAAGGAATGTTTAAAATAACTGAAGTGATCAATTAGTTCATTTTGACTATTAAATTAATTGATTTCATAATGGGTTAATCATATAAGTAATTTTTCTAAGTGCGCACACACAGCAATGATAGCTTCTCAAATGTGAATGTTTTCTGGTTTTCTTAGGGCCAGTTTATGCAAGTGGTGAACAACGTGTTGTCTGACCATGTCAGGAATCAAAAGCGTTTATACGTCAGCCCCACTGGAAAAAATGCTCACATTTTCAGTTTCTCCTGGTAGGCATTCATAGTGTTGAACTCGGTCGCTCAACACAAAACCTGCCACAAACAGTTGTGTAACAAAGGAAAAGAAGAGATCTAGAGAGAGAAGTTCAAACCCAGGTTACCCAACATCAGGTGTGTTGAACTACAAGCATTGCAGTTACATATTTAGATAGAATATCCGCTATAAATAATGTCTGCTACCTGGTCAGGCTGTGTTGCACAACAGTAATTAAAGTGCATGTGCCTCTTAGTTTGGTTGCATCTAATATAACTGTATTCTTTAAGTCATTAGTGACCAAACGCAAGTGTGTGGCTGTATAGCTTGATTTGGCTTTGACTACATCTGTAGTTCTGGACATGAATTGTTGTCACTTGAGTCCTGTTTTAATGTTTAATCTCTGGGCTCAGGAGACACTGGAGGAGCAGCGTAATTAGTGGCTGATGCCACAGTGCGTTTCATGTTAGAAAACACACACATACAGGCACTCTAATACTGGACACTGCACTCTAAGCACGGATTGTTGTTTTCAAGCCGCTACAGTTTTACAGGATGTTGTGTAATCTTCTCTCCTCAGAGTCACCTGTTCGAGAGCATCCAGCAGGGCAAGTATGAATTTCCGGACAAGGACTGGGCTCACATCACAGAGGGGGCCAAGGATCTCATATCCAAGCTGTTGGTTCGGGATGCAACTCTGCGCCTCAGTGCTGCTCAGGTCCTCAAGCACCCTTGGGTGCAGGGGGTGGGTATAATTTACATCTAGCTGAAAAGCTGTTTTGTACTTGGTACTCTTCTGTCTGATTATAAGATCACTGTAGCACTCATCCAGTGCTATTTAAACTTTACTGAAATACGTGATTTCAACTCAATTATTCATTTTTTTGTTTTTACAGAATGCTCCAGAGAGAGGTCTTCCAACTCCACATGTTCTACAGAGGTATGACAGAGGCCTGGAAAATAAAGTCTGATGTATTGATGAACTTTATATGCAACATGCATATAAAGCTGTACACATGCACAGCTGTATTATTATTATTATTATTAGTTGTAATACAGCGAGTAGAGCTTGTGTTCGGTGTGTGAGCGAACAAGAAGAGGCAGGAACATCAGTGTGCCCTGGGAAAGTGTAGATGGTACAAATGGGTAAACAACCTTTATACTGTCTGTCAAATCTTCTCTCGACTCCTCTCCTCTTCCAGGAACAGCAGCACCAAAGACCTGACCCAATTTGCAGCAGAAGCCATTGCCTTCAATCGGCAGCTATCCCAGCACGATGAGCACCAGGAGGATGTCGGAGCCATCGTGTGCTCCATGAGGCTTTCTCCTCCTTCAAACTCCAGGCTGGCCCGCAGACGGGCACAGTCCAACGCCTTGCGCACTGGGGACTTTGCACCCTCATCGGACGACCTCGCAGCCTGAAGTACCAGTACAGGTCCCCTCGCTGTGATTTCCGACTGATTTTAGCCTCCTTGTGTGGGTTTTTTTTATTTTGTTTGTTTTCACAGGGAGCCTTGTAGTTCAGCCACACAGTATATGAGGTGACTAACTTTTCTTGGTGTTAAGGCTCTTTCCCCATGGCCAGTAATCTTATCACCTTGACAGAGTTTGAGCACCAAGGGGACAGTTAATCCTGTCCCAATTCTAATTGAAAACATAGTTGAAAGTCCTGAGATTTGACCAGGAATTGTTATAAGCTGCCTCATAGTTTTTTTTGTTTGGTTTTTTTAGTCTTTTTAAACAAGAACTGTTTCGTTTGAGAGTAACTTTGGGTTTATTTTTACAAAGAGTCTGTAAATCAGAGTTTATTTATTTTTTATTATTTTTCCAGTGACCCTAGTACAGCAGAAACTGTTGTTAATGCCAGCAGTTTTATATACTCAGTACATATCATTATCAACACAGCATTATGTAGGTTCAGCACAGTTTGCCACTGTTGCTGGGGAGGGAGGGGGAGAGGGGACGAGAGAGAGACTGACAGAGAGAGACTGACAGAGAGAGACTGACAGAGACTGACTGACAGAGACTGACTGACAGAGACTGACTGACAGAGACTGACTGACAGAGACTGACTGACAGAGACTGACTGACAGAGACTGACTGACTGAGGAAATGGGCTTCCCTCTATTTTCCCCCCATTCATGTGATTCTTGTCAAGGCTATGTAGAATTTACAGAAAAGGCAGGGATGTGAATGGATGTAGAAGTTATAGTAAAGACCCCTTTTTCATCAAATTCTTTCGTATTTCTTATCATTTCTACACGAGCTGTTCACTTCAACACGAGCTACCTGTAGCACTGATGTACTTTAAAATAAGTCACTTATTTAGTTTATCTATCAAAAATAATCTGTTTGGTCCAATAATGTGAAATTGACACCTGCAGTAATATTTATCTTTTTAAGGGGCTTTAACAACTTTTTATCCTCATTAGAGTCCAGCATTACCTCAGCCTCTTTTTTTTTTGCACCACGTCTTTGCACGTTTTGTACTGTACAGATGTAACACCATCCCAAAAAAGACGTGCTTGGTTTCTTATTATCTTATTGGTTTGATATCTCAGAGTGTTTTTTGTCTAAATGATGTGAGATGTGAGAATTGCATTAGTTTTGGTTGTGTGTAGCTAATGAGACTTAAAGTGGGTTTGCGAATAGTTGACGTTACACTTTGTAGTAAGATAGAGGATTCCAAACTGGGATTGATGGCATTTATTTTTATACAAGTATTTGTATGTGGTTCAGTTTTATACCTTTTGGTTCTGTGACTGGTTCTAAATGTGCCAGTGGAAAGACTTGCTAAGTCCTAGATATTCTTGGGTCCATCAAGTTGCTGATATTTAGGCCTACTTTTGATCCTTTCTTTAAAGAAACATTTTTCACTTTTTTTTTATTGTTTCAGTCATCGATGTGTCACTATGTTTGAATGGGGTCACCAGTGGAAGTCTATCACTTCTGTTTCCCCCTAACCCTCTTAACGTTATGTGTTGCCCGCTAAACAGCATGTCCCCTGATTTCACACTGTTGCCATGGACACCTCATCCCTATAGCAACTACCGGCCTTCATAGGCTGGCAGGAATTGATGGAGATTTGCTCAGAGCAAATACACACACACACACACACACACACTAGGAAACAGCCTCTTGCTATGTTAAAGCCCTCCCACTCCCATTATGAATCATAAAACAACTTGTTTGTTTCCCCCCCATTGACTTGTAATGGCATCAAATGAGATACAGTAATTGGTGTGCAATTATGGGGTCTCATTGAAAATGTGTCAGTGCTCTTATTGGGTCCTATGCATAATGCTCTCAGTGTGGAGTATGTTTTCACTGGTTTGCTGTGTTCTCAATAAAAAGATCCTCAACATCTTCTGACAGAAGCTGTGTCCTTGTTATGATTTCTTGTAAAGCAGATAAGTACATTTGTATCCAGTATGTGAACCTTTAAGATCTGAAAAGGTCCAGATACAGTGGTGAAGAAAGTATTCAGATCCTTTACTTGTACCACGCTGTAAAATACAAGTCAACAAGCCATTATAAGTTAGAATTCTGCATTCAAAATGTTAAGTAAAACCAGAAAAATGTTACTTAAATAAAATAAGAAATGCAAAATGATCCCTATACCTACCTACATAAATGATATCTTCGCAATGCTTTGTTTTATCCAAACAAAAGTCAAAGGAGCAGCAGTAACATTCAAGACCACCCATCCTGTGTCGTTGTGTTTCCACTGACATCTCAGACTCGTATGTATCAGATGTTGATTTGTTCAGTGCACACACGCAAACCGTCATCACTTCGTCGCGCCCGATTGATTGGGCCGTTTATTTCCGAGCCCTATGGCGCCCCCCAGTGGTCCCTCTTCATTACAACATGTGGTGGGTGAGCAGCGGCGCGGCAGCAGCTCACTTCACTGTTCACCTGCCCGAGGGAGAGAGATCACCTCCAGCTCCGCGACTTCTGATGGATGGAGAGACACAAAACTGGATTCTAGGTCTGATCTAAGGTGAGGGACACTGACGAAAGCGCATAATAATGCTGCTGCGGGGTTGTTTTCAGCGTTTCTTCTCAGTCTAAACTGTCTGGCAGCTGACCATCATTAAGGATGAAGTGGTTTGGGGATTTTTGAGTCAGTGTGTAGTTATTCAATGACAGTGTTATCACTAGTGAAAACTGCACTTTTAGTGGTATTTGTCATGTGCATTAAAGGTTTTTGTGTCACTTATTCCTGTTTATGTGTGAAAACTTTCAAAAAGGAGTAACTGATTTATTAAATTAATGAAGGAAATTAATTAATTTTTCCATATTTATTTTGTGGCATTTAGGCATTTATTTTATTTCTTTCAAGTCAAATGTCACAGAAACATTTAAAGTGTTTAAAAGCTTTACAGCCTCTAAAACCATCATCCCACATTTGCTCTTCCTCTTCTTTTCTCTCGCTCTTTGAGGTGGTGAGCTCAGTGATCTGTTCTTCAGCTTCTCTGGGTCTCACAGTACTCTCCAGACAGACATGGTGCTACCTGACAAAAACTCCAGACCATCTGCTCCCAAGAAGGGGCCCAAGCGGCGCTCCCTGCAGCACCAGAGCCTGCCCTCCCCGGCCCTGTGCTGTGCCTGTGGCCTGTGCATCATGCTGGCTGGCATCAACATCACCCTGGTGGGAGCTTTTGCCTTTGGCAACTTCATTCCTACTGACAACCCCCCAATCATCATCGGGCCTCTTCTCTTATTGATAGCCCTGGCCTTCTTCACAGCCTGCTGTGTGATCAGTAGGAGGCCCCCGGCCCATGGGGCGCGCAGAGCTAAAGGAGGCGAGAAGTGGGGGCTGATGCGGATGGGGACGGCGGCGTTTGAGATGGAGACGAGTGAGCACACTCTGCAGGACACTACAGCTGTTCAGCTCAGCCCCACCAACTCCCCCAGCTCCTCTCACACCGGGGTCGACAGCAATCCGGCTGGCTGTCAGGATGGAGTCGCTGAGCTGCACATATCAGAGATGTCTGACATGGGTGTCACTGGAGATAACCCCACCATGATCTCTGACAGCAAGGAGAGCACCCCCACATAGCTGCTGCCCGCTCAGGACACTTTCTCTACATAGCTTCTACAACCTGTGCTTCATTGTTTTGCTTGTTTACAGGATGGAAATGTGTTGCGTGTTATTTGGCGTGTTACAGTGTGTTGCTGAATGTTTATTGCTCAGTCCCAGCATCACATCCCCAGAACAGAAACAGCAACAGGAGATACCTTAATCCCACTGCCTGTTTGTATACGGCTTGATGTATAAAACATCCAGTTAAGGCAGATTATCTAATAATATTAATATGCATTGATGTCCTATGGACTGTGGTTAATGGCTTGTCACCTCACAGGCTGGGATAGAAGATGATGGTGTCCAGCCAACCCCGTATGAGTCATTAAAGCTGTTCACGTGTAAGCCTGGTAAATCTCAGCCACAGTTTTTCACACACTTTGACAGAACTGTTAAGATTTTTCGTTTTTAAAAGGCATCAGCTGCAGTGAGTGAGTCAAGATCTGTGTTAAGATGGATATTCAGGAACAAATTAGTGAATCATGTTGTACCACCATTGTGATTATGTTACTGCAGGCGTCAATATATGTTTGGAGCACCTATATATTTTGTACATAAAGCTAAAATTTTGTTTTACTGTCACTAATATGGTGTGTTTCTGATTAAAAACCTCACAATAACTAACTTGGAACAAATTAATAGACCCTGTGTGGCATGCACAGAAACAAAAGGGATGAAAAAAACAATAGCACATACATGTCAGGCTACATGAGAAAGGTACACTGATTGTGGCGGTGCTTCATCTGTTATCTGAGAAAAGCCAGCAAACAGCTCCTTCCTGATGCACTGCCCATCTCTTGGCGTCTTACCCAACAGCTGCTGGCAAAGGTGAGAGCCCTGTTTACTCAACATTCTACATCTGCCGTCCACAAACACAGCAAGACACACAGTGTGATCCCCGCTCACATTGTGATCCCCACACACAGCTCCACCACTGGAAAAGATAACAGAACAGCCGCCACCTGCTGTCATTGCCGTCTATTTTGTGTGTGGATTGAGCCTTATGAATGGCTACATGCAGGCAGTGTGGTTGTCTGTAGTCATCCAGTGAGTCAGAAATTTGAAAACGAGTGATTCTATAAATAGGATGACATGTCTTGGCAACCTGAACTTGTTTATGAGGTCATGTTGCTCTGAAGGATTGCAAAGGGAAATTAATTAATTTGAGTTGCAGCCACCTCTCAACCTTAGTGATGGTGAAGCTTTGCTACTAAAATGTTACATTTGGGGGCAGGCTTTCAATAATAATATTACAGTATGCAGTTTGTGCTTCACATTGAAATACAGTAATTTGAAAAACAATTATATGAAACCTAGATGTCCAGAATACATTGAATTTTAAACAAAATATTTTTGGATATACAAACAACTGATTTGATATAATAACCAACTATTTCAAAACAGAAAAATAACCCTATCTCACCTTTGCCATTTCAACAGTAGATAGATGCAGACCTTGATGATAAAGGAGTGTTTGACGAGTCAGTCAACAGTGTATGTTTGAAATGATATTAGAATTTTGATGTTCTGTCGTGTCATCAACTTTCGCTGTCATGAAATGAATCAACTCCTTCTGTATTCATACTCAATTCATCCAAATATATTTGGATGCACAAGATTAAAACATGCAGTGAAATGCAGGGTGGCATAGGCTTCTGTTGAGGCTGTGTTAAAAGACTGGTGTGCAATTAACAAGAACAATAGTAAAAAAAATAACAATTACAAAAGAAATATAATAGAATAAAAGAAGGATAAAAATACAAAGATGAATATACAACATGTATTATATGTATTAAAATGCTAAAATGTCTGCTGGCCCTATGTGTATAGGCTGTGCAATATTTCAGTATATAAAAAATATAAAATGTCACATGGTTTACACAGTCATCCTTAACAGTCATCCTTCCATCTCTGCATAAACAGAAATCAACTTTGGCAATTACCTGAATATACCTTAAGTGATATATAAAATTTCTAATAACGTTTCAAAGGGCTTTCCAGGTGAAAAGAACACTTCCTATGCACAATAATGAAAAGGAAACTATGAAAAATGACTTTGCTGGAAAGCAGAAAAAGGGGACCTGTTACCCTGCCTGTTCCCAGTACTTAGACTGTCTATGGGACACCACACCACAGAGGGCCAGCACAACACAACCAACAGAAAAGATAACCAAAGACATTGTTGATGTGGGTTATTTCACCGTCACCAGATTATGTGTTACGGTATGAATAGCTACACACAGTTAAGTTGTTGGTAGTTATTCATTAAGTTAGATATTCTTAGTATATCAAAAGGCTGTGTATTGACTGTTACTTAATTATACCAAAACTGTAATAAAAAGAGTTATGGCAGAGCGAAAAAAAAACATGAGTGAGAAAAGTCATTGTGTGTGTACAGCAAGAGATTGTGCCACTCTTATGTTCACGTTTCCTATAAAGACACCAAAATCCGCTAAATCCATTTCACCATGTTGTACCCAACTCTCTGCTGTTCTTCATATTGATTACCACATGATTCTTCAATTATTACTGTCTACAAAACCAGTCTTTGATATTGATAAATGCATAAAATAGCTTTAATTTGCAATCTTTATCTCATTCCACTCCACTAATTAAAGTAATGACTCGCAAATTTAATAATTGTAGTGAGGATAAAGGCTCACAATCACATGAGTGTCAGCAAGAGCCGAATGATTCACAAAAGGCCAAGGCTATTACTTTTATGCAAATAGCTCCCATCCTAAAGAGGTGTTCAGTGTGCATAATGATATTATAATGATAATTCTTGGAGCTCCATCATTTGATTCAAAGGCAAAATAACCTCACAAGATTTCATCTCCATTGACAGAGCTCAAGCTACATCTAGTCTTCTGACTCCACCTTGTGGGGAGAAGACAGTAGGCCCTATTCATGCTCATGAAGAGCAAGACTACTCATAAAGGAATCATTTAAAGTAATAAAAGAGGAATAATTCATCTTGTAACCTGATGCTTCAAGAGAAAGTACATAACCAAGACAACAGGATGTCAGTTTACGAAATGTTGTTATTGTGAGACACATCCTCTTGTTTCCTCTCATATGACCATCTGACTATCAACCATGCATTAATTAAAATCTTGATGATTTATGAAGTATTATATTTAAGTTATTCTCATGTACTCCATAAAAAATACTAACAAAACAGTCTCCAGTACTGGCTTCTGCCACTAGAGTGCAGTATCGCCATTCACACAGTGTTTCCAAGCCTGGTGAAGATTGGTCGTGTTCTTGTCGAGGTAAGAATATTTAGGCCTACTGGGTTTGTTTTGATGTAGTAAGTTTTGGCTTTGATGCTATATTGAATCATGTATAATTTTAAATTAAAATTTATTCTAACATGCTAATAGTAGGCCTGCTTTCCACAAATTTCCCCCTATTATGAAATCTGTCATCCTTTGGTCCAAAAAAATATCAATCGCTCAAGAAAATACACTCAGTTTCAGTTTATTAGCTACACCAAGCTAAAACTAATGCAGTCATGCAAAAACCGCTTCTTTCATGAAAGCTATATAATTCAGTCTCTGCTGAAACTGTTGTGTTCAGAGAGGTGTTGAATCGACTTTGCCCATTTCAGAGCATGTTTGTGTTGCTGTTGAATTGTATTGCGTGATACTGAGAGATATACAGAGAGATTTTTCTAATATTTACCCTGATTGATATAAATAAGAAACAGAAGCACATCTTAAGTATTTATTGCAGGCTGCTGTAGGCATATTAGACAACTTGGTGTAGGCCAACAACAGAATCCCTCATAGAAAGTGCTGATTTAAAGTTCCCCTCCACTGAAAACTGTGTTTTGCTTATTGTTACTTCACTTGTTTTATCACAGTGTAGAGTGATGTATGTGCAGAGTTTGTCACTAAAAGGCTGATTCCAAATTAATCTGTTGAAGTGGTAAAGTTTCTTAACAATAACCTTAATTTAACCAGTTTGATGGTGGGCTGTGGGATAATTTTGTGACATCACAACTTGTCCAGAAACCAATCCTGGTTCAAAATGCAGGTTACACTCATGTGATGTGGAAACCTGAAACCTTCAGTGTACCTATACTGACAATATACTTTTCAGTGAAGTAGAAATCTAGTAGCTAAACACTGGAAATGAAAATATTTTGCATATTCATATAATCCTCGATTTTTCAATGTAAGAGAAGGAGTAGATTTAATTTTAATGTGAATTCACTTTTTTTGTGGAAAAACTACATCAGACACAAATTATTATCCAAAGCAGAGTATGTCTTAAAACATGTCTGGATCAAGTCTTAATTGGTAGATTGCAGTGAAACAAACAAAAATAAATAAATAAATAAATATGAAAAAATAAATAAATGATGTGCTATGGAATTAAATCATCACTACTGAGTTTAACACAATCTCATGAATTTTGTTCAGTTAATAAAGAAGTTAACTGCGGTATCATCAAGTTCATGTGTCTGTTAGTGACATGATTAGCTCTTTAAGGCAGTGCAAGTTATGCTTATTTCCTTTTTTGGTTGGTTGTCTCAATTCATACTTTCCCACATCCAAAGTGTGTAGGCCTTGAATGCATCCCTGCGCTTGTTCAAAGTGCCTGGCCGCACTGCGCCGCCCTTGGGCCTCCTCCTGCCTGTAGCTCCTTGCTCTGCAGAGGGACGCAGTGATCCTCCTGCGGCCCTGAACCACAGCCAGGTCGTCTCTGAACTGCTGCCCGAAAAATACATTTCCCACAGGTAATAACCTATACTACATTCCCAAATAACCACAAGATAGAACAATAGCAAGGTTACAGTGTCTTTGACCTCCTCTGTGAACATAATAATCACCAGGTGAGTGACCCGACGTGTTTCATGCACGCTGAAATTCCTGTACACAGGCCCGACAACTTGTAAGAGCCATTTGTCTTTCCCTCCCACCTCCTTTGTTGGGTAGAGCAGGCGCTTCATATCCCACCTCTTGAAATGAAGTGCCATTAATTCTATCTTTCTTTGCAGGTTGCAAAGTGTCTCTCTCAACAGCAGCCGGCTTGATCTAAGTCCTAATGACTGTTGTGAGTGCTGACTCGGCTATTGTAAAACAAATGATAACTCTGTCCTGCTGGAATAATCCTAATCTATTTCAATGGAAGGGGCCGTATTAAAATGACAAATGGTGGAGGATATTTCCATCTCATGATAAATGTGCAAATGTCCACCAAAGCTGAATCAGACAGCATATTTTAATGGCCTGATTGCTCGTTCATTTCTCGCTTCATTCTCTAGCAGCCCATGCTCCCTTCTTTTTTAATGCAGAGCTGGTCATATTTTGTCCCAGATTAGTATAGACGCCAGATGACAGTTGCCTCTGCTCAAGGTATTTAGAAGACATAATTCATTCATAGATCTAGAAGTGCTCCCATTTGTCATCCCCATTTTTTTATGCCTGCTCTCTCCGCAGTCGCTCATTCCTCTGGGTAGTGGTGTGTGTGTGTGTGTGTGTGTGTCAAGGGAGATGAGGGCCAGGGCAGTTTTCAGCTGATGTATTAGCTGGCATATGCAAGCAATGAATTATCAAGGAGGAAAAGGAGTCAATTATCCACTCCTAAAGAGGGGCCGGGCCTGC